GAGGCAGAAGTTGAGCGGAATTTTTAGCTTTTGCGAAAAAAGTGATTTGGTAGAAAATAATTCAAGGAAAGCAGGGTTATTTATACCTAGAAGATTTCCTAAAATCACTCTGGAAAAATTCCAGAAATTTTCCAGAAGGCCTCAAGGCCAATTAACACAAAAGACCGTGAACCTCTTCAGCCTTCTAAGAAAAAGAAAAAAAAAAGACAAGTTAGGGAAAACACGCAGACATCGGTTCGATGCGGAATAGCGAAAACTTCCCAAGTTCGATGATAAGACGTTCACGCCTAGCGACTTCGCAGCCCAACATATCGATCCCAGAATTCGACAACTTTTACCTCGGCACCATCATAACTCGATACTGCCAAGCTGGGGGGCTAATTGTGGGGGTCGGATTTCACCCCTATGAGATCGATATGGCGATGAGATCAACTCCACAACGTCTTGACGAAATCAAAGCAAGTCTACAAAGGCCCAGTCTGAATCTAGGCCCAAAATGATATTAAATCCATAAGCAAAATGGGCTTAATTGAATAATTGGCCTAAATTAGATATATTGCTTAATGGGCCAGGTCTATTTTATTAGCTGGCCCATTTACCTAGAAGTACTATATATAGCCCCTCATTATCACCCAAAAATGGGATCAGAATTCATAAGCAAAAACTCTTGTAACAGCTTTCTTCACAGCTTAATAAAACCTCTCTTGAGATCTTTGCGTTTGGTTGCTTTACGTAGAACTTTACAAACCCTGAAGAATTACTTAAATCGTGATTGTGAGATTCGACCGCCACAATTAAGATCGAAAAAAGTTGAAGGATAAGGAGGAGATTCCGTGAAGGACTTGTCCAAGTCAGCCAAAGTTTTAGGAGCAAGAGTGGCCCTGAAGGCCTTCTCGATCTCATGAGTGAGCTCAGGTTTACCTCTCACAAAGTGATCATCATGCGCGTATTCCCATTGCTCAGACTTCTCAACTTTTCTAAGACCATTGTGATGTAGAAACATGTTTAACCAGCCGGCTATTTTTGACGCCATGCCTAAAAACTCATAAATATAACAATCGATGATGGTCATTAAATTGCTTTTGGTTGCATGATAATGTGAAATAAAGAAAAAAATTAGCTAATTGAAAATGTTTAGGTTTGTAATCAATAATAGTTGTGATTTCAAGATTCCATATATGATGTTTTTGTTCCCTTT